ATTATTAGTAGAGTTTTGAGGCTACTACATCTCAGGTATGCTTATACAGGATGAGCAACAGTCTTGTCCTCGCTTAGGTCTCATTGAACCCTCCATTGAGACTCGAATCCTGGTAAAGCAGTGTATAATCTCGATTACTCTACAGAACTCCATTTATAATACTAACCGGACGCTCCTTAGTCTGAGCCTCCCTTAATCCCTGCTTGTTTCTGTGTTAAATTCCAATATTGCTTCATTGCTCGTAAGTTTATTCGTGTTTTTGCTTTCCTAGTTTTTAGCTATTTGAACTAGGAACCGTCCTCTTGTTAACACTAATTTATTCTTAGCCAAATTCGTTTCATGGTAGAATATTGCTTGTCATTTCTTTTTGAAATTATTTCAAGTTTGTTTTTGAGATTATTATTAGTTGATAATGTATATTAAAATAATAAAGAATAACTCCTTAAGAGTAAGCTCCAATAATCTTTCCAAAATAATTTTATAGTCTTTTTTTATTATATAAAAAACCTACTTTATTGATTTAATGGAAAAACAGTGTATTTCAGCCTGTCTACAAAACTGAAAAATAACTACCGTTATCGTATTCACCATTTTATCAAAGATTTATTTCTTATACATACCTCCTCTTTTTCAGGAAAATATTCCTAGTCATTTTTTGTTAATATCTGTTGACCCAATTTTCCAGACATATGTTAATTAAGTTAGTCTACGTATACATTGTTGATTTTAAGATAATTAAGAGCTAAGTTCTTTAACAATAAGGTGAGAAATCTTTTTGGCTTTAATGATTACTATGTCTAGACCTCACAAACCGAAGCTCTCATTCATATAATACTTTGTTTTTATTGATTTAACTTCGATCGGATGATGATGAAACTATGTCAATTCAAGCTTTTTTTTATTCATTTTCACCTATTAGTCTCAATATTTTGAGTATATTAGATTTATTATGATCGCAATAAATAAGAGAACTATATTCTACTCAGAAGAGGCCTTTAGATGCGTTTTTAATTTTTAAATTCCGCTGCTATTTTTTATTCATTGGAGGAAATCCAAACCATATATAATTTTTTCCTTCAGCACTCGATCTCTTCCTGTTATCTTAAGAATGATATTTTTCGAGATTTCCAGAGATAAGTAATTGCTTGACTAATTCTAATAATGCCTGTAGTTTAATAATGGCGCATTAAGCGTACTTCTATACTTGAGCTTTGTTCGAATGGGATGGCATGATAGTTAAGAAAGAATTCAGCAAATTTTATCTTTTACAAACGAAACTTTTTGAAATACGGTCAACCTAAAGAATTTACCCATAAATGTACTTTACTTTCGACGATAAAGATGAATTAATATGGACTGACGAGACATATATTTCCATTCAATTAATTTTTACGGGTGAATGCGAATCAAGAAAGAATTGTGAATTATATGGGATGCATTCATTCTATTTCATTTAAGGGGATGAAGGACTGGTAGTAGAATTTCCCCACAATGATATGAGTAGAGCTGACGATTCTATTGGATTTCACATAGCTTTGCCTTCAACAAAGATCCCATCCAGAGTGGACTGCAGATTCGACCTCGCCTAGGTCTTATCAACACTCCCAGCGAAAGTCGAACCGTGACATTGCATCATTTGAACTTGAAATTTTAATCACTAGCCACATCGCCACGAGTGCACTTGGCTCACAGGGCAGATGCGAATTTCAAGACTGACTAGGCTTTTTCGCATATTACATTCCTTGGTGGGATTGTCGATGAAACAAACGTATTTTTGCGATAAGAATCGACGGCATTACTGAGCTTCGTATATATTTAGAGTTTTGAGACTAATAGTAAATTATTTATATGAGAACAACTTTTGGGAAAGCAAGGCTATGCGAAATTCAAAGTGAATGTCATCTCTACTCATATAATTGTGGGAAAATTCTACTACCAGTCCTTCATCATCTTAAACGTAATAGGATGAATAAATGGCATACAATTGATTTACTGGTAGTCTCGAAACTCTGCTTATATAGCTAAAATAAGTAATGTAGTCGATTGCTATAGCAAAAATAAGTTTGCCTCATCGACAACTCTGTCAAAGAATATGATATGGGAAAAGGCCTGGCCTTTTTTGAAATTCCCCTCTTCTCTGTGACCTAAGGGTATTCATACTAGTGCTGCTGAGTCGTTAACGTGTTAAACTCACATGCTAGATCTTCACGGTTCTACTAACTTTTGGTGTGTTAATAAGACCTAGGCGAGGTCGAAACTGCAGTCCACTCTGTATGAGAACAACTTTTGGGTTAGCAAGGCTATGTGAAAATCAATGGAATCCTCAGCTCTACTCATATTATTGTGGGAAAATTCTACTAACAGGGGAATACATCTCATATGACTGATTTACTGATAATATAGAAACTTTGCTTATATACGAAAAATATGTTTTTACAAGCTTCTTAGAAATAGTTATTTGTCAGTTGAGTCTAAGTTAATTATTTTTCAAGATCACTCTGTTTATTTCGTATATATTAATTTTATGTCTTATATAATGCTCTTATTTTGGTTTTTTTGCTCTTTCTCCTGCCTTGTGAAGTCGCGACCACCTGTTCTACTCAATCCTATTCCTGCTTTCCCTTCTGATGACTTTTGCAAACCAGTCAAGCCGCTTGCCTCTGGAGCCTTCAGCATCTCTGCTGCTTGCCATGTCGATACTACCTCGACAGCCAAAAATTCGACAGATAGGGCGGCCTCATCCTGTCTTCTAAATTCTGCTGCACTTGCCACCGCCTTTACTACCTCTGAAGGCCAACAAGCTTGGCATGAAGTGGCCAGTTGGCTAGCAGGATTAGCCGCACGTCAAACCTCCAATCTCATGGACATGAATCCCGAGGAGTCTATTGTCAGGATCCCGGCAGCGGTCAGTGAGGCCATTCTTTTTCGGTGAGTTCAATCTAGTAGTTATTAGTTGTTTGAAAAAATCCTTAACGAAAAGAGTATCAAAGAGAGAGTAGACTGTTCTTAAATTATAAAATAGGAATCTACTTTTCGATCTAGTGTCTAAACAAGATGGCATCGTTGGAGTGATCTTTATTTCGTATGAAAGTGCATGAAGAAAATATTCGTAAGTTGATCTCACTAGAAGGC